AGGAAGCTGATTAAGCAGAGTAGCCAGGATTCAAACCAGGCACTCCAAAATGGGATGCGGGCACGCCAACGGCAGCTTAACATACTGTGCCGTGACACCCGCCCCTATGCTTGCCTTTGACTTCCATTTTTCTGTGACCTTTTTGCAGTACCCTCAGACATGTGGCTTATAAAATTTTCATTTAACCGTGTCTAGTAACGGCTGTGGCATTGTCTGCAATCAACACCACCATCCATCTCCAGAATTGAGGTCATGCTTTGATCCAGTGCCCTTTTTGCTGTTGTAGATCTCAAACACTAGTGGGTTTCAACCAAGGGTGATACTGCCTTTCCCCAGTGAATAATACTGGATATGAAATTTTTCCAAGCTGTGTTGTTACGTTGTATAAAGGCAGCTTTCGGCCAAGCACTTTAGCCTAGAAATCAGGGCTTTGTTTAAAAAGGAAGCGCATAGCCTGTATGAGCTTTGTTTGCATGGGACACCCTTGGCATGTGCACATGCTGCTCTGACAGTCCAAGGGATCTTAAGGTACATCTGTCCTCTCTGTCCATAAAGTCCATCTACCCACTGTGCTGTGATTGGAAATCCATCGCTAGGACGCCAGCTAGGCTCTGCATGGGACACAGAGAAGAGCATGGCCCTGCTCTGCCTGCCGCTGGTCCACTAAGAGTTAACTGTCAGCACAGAGGACGAGGAAGAGCTCTGACTTCCCAGCCAGGCCAGCTGTGGGTAGCATCCGGCTCTACCCTGCATTAGTGTGACCCCAGGAACATCACTTTTCACCTGCCTAGCCCTGCTTCCTCATCTCTACCTTCAGTACCAGCCTCACAGATCTGTTCTAAGGACTACATGGGATCCTAGGGGATGCCAAGGAGGGTAAGGGAAGTGATAGTTGGACCCTTACGGGGAACAAAGTGTATGGTGGGAACTTGGGGAGAGAGGCAGCACTTGTGTGTGTCAGCAAGGCACTGCAGGAGAGGTGGCAGCTGGAGGGTGGCCTGAGCAGGCAGTGAGGGGTAAGGCATGTAGGGGGAGGGAGGCTGGACCTGCATGACCAGTGCAGAAACAGGCAGGTCCTGCAGAGCAGGGGAGGAAGTTAGAGTGTTTGCTTTGCAACATTTTGGAATGCCTGGAGCCTGTCACCGAGGCAGGGGGAGGTATGGGTTGTAGGCTTCTGGGCACCAGGAAATTCTGGAGCCAACATCAGAAAGAACCAAGTGGCAGCTGTGCATAGGAGCTTTGCATGTCTCACTCTGGATGAGAGGGGAGGAGGCTGCAGAGGGGCCTCCCCAGGCATGGGCCGTGGATTAGTTGTGGGAGGTGGGCCTGAAAGTGCCTGCAGTTTGTTTTTTTTTTTTTTTTTTTTAAGATTTTATTTGTTTATTTGAGAGGTAGAGTTACAGAGAGAGGGAGAGACAGAGAGAAAGGTCTTCCATCTACCTGTTCACTCCCCAAAGGGCCGCAACAGCCGGAGCTGGGCCAATCCAAAGCTGGGAGCCAAGAGCTTCTTCCAGATCTCCCGTGCAGTGCAGGGGCCCAAGTACTTAGGCCATTTTCTACTGCTTTCCCAGGCCATAGCAGAGAGCTGGGTTGCATGTGGAGTAGTTGGGACTCAACCCGGAGCCCATTTGGGATGCCAGTGCCCAGGCGTTGGCAATGGAGGAGGTGGCGGGGCGGGGGGGGGGGGTTGTTAGCCCCCTGCTGAGCACCTGAGGCTGCCGGGCAGCAGGTTGGAAGTGCAGCTTTAGAAAGGGCCCCACAAGTGACATTGGAGCAGCGTTTGTGGTCAGGTGCAGGAACCAAGAAAGAGATGAGGTTGAAAATGTAGACTAGAAAGATCGGACGGTGGAGGCCCCTGAGGAAGCTCACATGAGGAAGATGAGCTCTGCCTTTTCAACTGCAGGTGAAAGCGGGGAGGTGAAGGTCGAGATTTGAGGGGGACAGAGGCCTCCGGTCAGCGCAGCTGTGAGTGAGTGCTTGGTCTTGTACAAGGCGAAGGCCGAGGAGAGTGCAATGCTGGAGGGATAACCCCAGTTATGGAGCTAGATTTTTGCAGAGTCTGTTTCTGGAGCCAGGATGCCCTGGTTTGAGTCCTGGCTTTGCTGTTACTTGTGTGCCCTTAAATAAGTTTTTTAGCCTTTTCAGTGCGTCTATTTCCACATCTTTAAAATGGGTATAATAGTAGCACCTCCCTTAAACTGTTGTTGGGATTATTATTATTATTATTATTTTTGACAGGTAGAGTGGACAGTGAGAGAGAGAGACAGGGAGAAAGGTCTTCCTTTTGCCGTTGGTTCACCCTCCAGTGGCCGCTGCGGCCGGTGCGCTGCGGCCGGCGCACGGCACTGATCCGATGGCAGGAGCCAGGTACTTATCCTGGTCTCCCGTGGGGTGCAGGGCCATCCTCCACTGCATTCCCTGGCCACAGCAGAGAGCTGGCCTGGAAGAGGGGCAACCTGGACAGAATCCACACCTAGTGAGCCGCGGCGCTGGCCTGTTGGGGTTATTTGAATTGGTGTCTGAAGAGCATTTAAAAGGGCACCTGGCACACGGTGAGTGACTTCTAAGTTCTTTTGGACCCCCTCCCCACCAGCCCTCCTAGCTCCGGTTGCTGCTGCTTTAGGCAGGACGACTTTTGGGGAAGCAAACCCCAGAGCTATGGTTCAAGCCCGTCTCCTGGACCCAAGGGGGTCTCAGTTTGGTTTTTTATTTCTTCCAGTCTCTGGAACCTCTTTGTTGAGGTGCCACAGTTGGAAGGCATTGGCAATAATCACTTAAATTTGACTGTATTGTGCCTTACACTCACTCTATGTACTTCTCTATTCCCTGGCTTGATCTTCACACCAAACCTGTGAGGTGAGCAGAGGACGCCTGCTCAGCCTGGGCCAGTAACCAGCTGCAAGTGCGATTCCAGGTGTGGTCCCAGGTGCACCAGGGCTCAACAAGCACATTACCGGGAGCCTGGTGAACCCTTAGGGCCAGAACCCGGGACACCTGGCCACCCTCCGTGCATTCCCCTCCCCCACCAGATGGGTGGGAACAGCATTTTGCTTAGGAATAAATTTTGGCATAAATTAGAAAAGATGATCTTTGTGAAAAGGAACCTAACTAGCTCGGGTCATCTCTTTTTGCCTCCATTACACCAAGTGCTGAGCCAGGGGGTGTAGGCTACAGACACCCATCCTGTGTGTCATGCCAGGGCTGTGGTTTGCTCACTGGGTTTCTGTGGTTTAGTGACATCTGAGGAAGGCCACGGGCTTGCACTGGGCCCGCGCAGCGTGGATTTGGATCACAGTAACCGAGCTTCTGTTGGTTGCAGGACGCCCTCCAGCCAGCTGACTGACTAGCCTGTAACCTGTGGCTGCTGCTGGTCTCAGCTGTAGCAATTCTCTTGTTTATGCTTCGCTTCTGTTCTTCTAGAAATGCTGTGTGATATCTACATAGAGTTCCAGGAACTTGTTCTGGTTTTGGGAGGTGCCTGTTTCATGAACCATTTTTGTTTTGCTCAAGTGAGCTTCACTCAGTTTAATTGGTCTAAAGCATTTTCCTTCCAACGCTGGTGCTCCTGCTCCTGTGACCGGCCAGAGTGCCTGGGAGTGAGACCTCTTGGCCTTGCCCTTCAGTCAAGAGTTCTTGTATTACACATAAACACTAGCAGTTTCTCCCATCTCTGTACCCAGCTTTTTCCTTTCTGAAATTGAGTTAGAGGATTCCAGAACTGGAATACTTTCCTTAGAATAGCTGGGTTTATGGGAATAATATTTAGGATTCTCTATACATAAAAACAATGGTGGAATTTTATAACTTCTTGCCCAAGGAATGGTATGAGTCTTTGTTGAAGGCTGCCACTTCTTCGTTTGTAGAATTTTGCTCCCTTGTGGCTTAAAGATAGGATTTTTATTGAGTAAAGAGGTTGGGCAGCCTTATTGTTAGTTTAGTCTCTCTGAAGAATGGATCTGGAACCAAGTTACACTGGCTGTTTGGATTCCTCCCTGCCTGCCCCTGCCCAAACACACCCCAGCCCCTTGCCTGCTTTCTCCCTCATGTGTTGGGGCTTCCCCAACTGTTATGGAGTGTGAATCTTGATGCTGGGCACCAACACAGCCTGACTTGGCTCATGCATATGCATGGGTCATGTGTCATTGGAACTGGAGAGAATTCAGGCTGTTGCTCTGTTCAGATTTTTGTTTTCTTTTAATGGCTTTTCCTCCAGGTACCCTGGGAGTCATGGTTGTGTCTTGATCCCTTCTGTGTCCTGGGGGACAGACAGCACAAGCCTGTGGCCCTGGCTAACTCAGGCCTGCCTGGCTGGCTGAGTTGGCTGTGGCACAGAGGATCGGGTTGCCCCAGGCTGTACCCGTTGGAGGATGCTGGCTTGATGATTCACGTGGAACCCTCCCTCTTCTGAGCTTTCTGAGAGCCGCATGACTCTCACATGGGCAGTGTGAGTGGCTCTTGAGCAATCTGCACATATTCCCTCAAGATGGCTTAGGTGAATTCCCTAAAGTTAGCCCTTTGCTTGTTTGCTCCTTAGATCCTGGGGACAAGGTGTGTTTATTCTTCCTTCTCCTATGTGGGGTTACTGATGTTGTGTGGTTTTGTTCTTCCCATTACAGTGTACCAATATGAATTAACCTATATATGGAAATAGTCTTTCATTGTTTAGAGCTTATGGAGTTCCTCATGCAGATGTGCAAAATCTCATGCATTATCTTTCTTTCCTCGATATTGGTTCTTAGTGATTCTTACACAGAACCAAAGCTGCCTCTTAGCGACAAATAAACAGGTAGAAAGTAGAAAACATGTAAACTAAGTACCTTCCATCACCTGCTTCACTGACTTGACAGATCCACTTAGGCATTGGTGTATCTTTGCGCACCCCTAGCTGTTAGTTCATTTCGCTGATAATGTCAGAAGAGTTTTGCAGTGTTGCTTTGTGGTTGACATTTGCTTTACCCTCGACCCCTGGTGACGCCGGGTCCCATGTTGACTTTCTGTAGGTGCTTCCCCAGTCCTGTGTTTGGTATGGAGAGTGTGGCATTGCCTCCGGAGATAAGAGATACAACTGCCAATATTCTGGCCCGCCAAAACCATTGCCCAAGGATGGCTACGACTTAATACAGGTAAGGTCATTATCGTGGGTGCTGGGAACACAAGTTGCTCTTTTTCAGATCCTCAGTAAATATGCCACTGTGCAGGGGAGCCGGATGGGCTGCAGTCTTATCCCGGATTCCCACCTGGAGCACCGGATGGCAGAGAAGGGGAGTCCAGAGGCTTCTTCTTCAGGGGCAGACTTCCATGCCTCACACAGTTTCCCCTTGGCGGGTTACTATTTAGAGACTGAGGCTGCGAGCGCCAACGTTGCTCTTCGCAGCTTCTGCAAAATCTGTTAGAAGCTTGCTTTTTTTGGTTCCTAGGTTTCAGCCATTGGACGGAGTCCGCTGCTAGGTGGCTGAGATCTTCCTCTTCCCCTGTTCCTTTTAGTGCATGCTGTGTGTGCCCCGAAAGTCTGTGGCTTTGGGCTGCCGGCAGCATTGTGCCAGCATTGTGCCATTCTCATGTAGCAGACACACAGGAACCCAGAGAAAGGACTAGAAAAACAAGAGGAGAAAGACTGATTGTAGAGGCCTCAGTAATCTAAAATCGAGGTCACATGACAACAGAAGCTCTGCCACTCACCCTCCGCCTCCATCAGAATTATTGGATGCTTTGGCTTCCCCCGGAGTGACTCATGGAAATGGGAAATAGTGAGAGTTGAACTTAAACCTGAGAAGACGTGAAACGTTTCTCAGGGGGATTCAGTAAGCTTCCAAATAAGAAGATTAGAAAGGGTTCTACTTATAAAACTCTGTGCATAGTAAATGACAGCCTTTTAAAAGAATTCTGCAAGAACTTCCCATACCTACCTTGCCCCGGCGTCCTTAGAAGAACCCCGTGAATGAGGTTGTCTTTGTTGCTTGAGAAACATCGCCGTATTCTCAGCTGTGCCACACTGACATCCCTGCTCTCTCTCCCCGAAGGAACTCTGTCCAGGATTTTTCTTTGACAATGTCAGCCTCTGTTGTGATGTGCAGCAGCTTCAAACACTGAAAGACAACCTGCAGCTGCCGCTACAGTTTCTGTCCAGGTAGGGTGACTACCAGGCAAACAGAACCCGTGGGTTTCAGGTACTTGTTAACCAGTAGTGTTCTCATCGCCTTTCAAAAGTCAGTTAGTTTTAAGAAAGCATTCTATGTCTTGTCAGAAATAAAGAGGAAGTAATGATGATCAGACGTGCTTCTCTTCCTAGTTGCATTCAGAGTTGGCACTTGGCTTCCTCTGCACCCCACAGGGCGCCCTGTGGGCCACCTCCTTTCAGACAGAGCTCCTGTGTGCTGTGGAAGGAGAGGATCCTGGTGGGTCCTACTCAGGTGCCCGGCCCGAGACCCTCAACTCTGCAGTCCTCTGTGTCGTCCCCTCCCTTCCTCTTCCTTGCGTATCATTCCTGTCCCTTCCTGCAGTGAAACCACGTGCTAGGGTCGTGTCCCCAGTAGAGCAGGCATTGGCTGGCTCAGCTTGTTCCGGTGTAGTTGGCTGGTTTTGTCAAAGGTTGTCCCCTGTCCAGTCTGTTACCTGTGACCCAGGCCCGTGAAAAGAAGGTGGGTTAACAGCCATCCCTCTCAAGGCCTACTCGGCTGCTCTCAGTGGCGTTCCTTAGAGCAGCAGACTGTAGTACCTCCCTAAACTTTCAGACTTCAGCACACATGGGGAGCAAATAGAGAAGGGAAATTGCAGTTCTACAGATACTGCAGGTGACAGGGCACAGACCGGCTTCCGGGGAGGCAGGCCTGCTGCTTACCCAGAGTTGACAATACAGGGTGCAGGCCAGCACTAAGTTCAGAGTGACGTGGAATAACATAATAGATACAGTGTTGAGACCCTGACAAGGGCACTGCATCCTGTGGACGGCTGGAGGATTTTGCCAGAACCAGACTGGAGCCTTCATCACTCCGTCAAAAGGCACTTACTTAGCATCCGTTCTGGGTGGGCCGTCACAGACAGAGGAACCAAAGGTTTATTTGTGATAGCAGAAAAAGAACCCGATAGGGAATATTATACAGGTAACCAAGTGGATGGTTATGGAGACTAAAGGTAGCAACCTGGAAGGAGGCTTGTGACTCACAGAGGACGGGAGGAAGCTGCCCACAAGAGTGGCCTTGACCCGGTGTTGTCATTGCCATTCTCTGGTTTGTCTCAGGGAAGCGCAGGTGTCTTGAAAGACAGGCTGTGCGGCTCTTGCCTTCACTAGAGCAGAGGCTCTCGACGCCGGGCACGCCCTCCTCATCCTGTGCCTGGTCACCGGGACTGGATCAGAGTGGAAAGTAATCTCGGTTGTGTCGCAAGGATGTAAGTCCAGTGAAGCGACGGCAGCAGTGGACCAAAGGCAGGGGAGGACTCTTACCGTACACAAGTCAACATTAGGAGCTTAAACTTTGAACCCGAGGGACAGCAGATAGCTTGTTCTCATGAAAACCCTGGTGCTTCTGGAACATCTATTGCCAGAGATTAGCTTTCCAAGTCCCTAGCTGGGGGCAGGTGGTTCGCCTGGTGGTTGGGACACCCAATTCCCTTTTCACAGCACCTGGATTTGAGTCCAGCTTCCATTTCCTGACTCCAAATTCCTGCCAGTGCAGACCCTGGGAAGCAGCACTGATGGCTTAAATTATTGGGTTCCTGCCACCCACTGCTGGGAGACCTGGACTGAGTTCCCAGGTCCTGGCTCTGGCCCACAGCCAGCCCTGGTTATTGCGGGTGTTTGCTGAGTAAACCAACAGATGGGAGCTTTCTTAGTCTGTGTCTCTCTACCTCTCAAAGAAAGCAAAAATAGAAAGAGGGAAAAAAAGCCAGAGAAACCTTATGTTTTAGGAGGGCCTGGACATTATCCGGGGCTTGGAAGAAAGCCCTTCGATATGAGGTTTTAAAATAAAAAGTCTAGTGTGGTGCTTCTTGTTCGTTCGTTCGTTCGTTCGTTCTTTCTTTCTTTCTTTCTTTCTTTCTTTTTTTTTTTTTTTTTTTAGTTGTCACTGTGGTGCTCCTAAAGAGACTTTAGCCCTAGGGCAAAGGAAGTGTCTAAATTAGAAAGTGCAGAATTCAGAAAAGCATCTTTCTTTTTTTTGAAATCACATCTGGACAGAATAAAGGTAGTAATTCAAGAAGTGTTTTAAGCTGTGTATTTGAGTATGAGGTTTTAAGTTTAGAATTCCTGGGTTTGATATGTACTCATGGTAATTCATTTCTCATTTCAATGAATTTTAAATATTCTTTGTTCTAAGTTGTTTTTTCACTGGCCCCATTATACAGAATATAATTTACCTTTTCTTTAGATGTCCGTCCTGTTTCTATAACCTAATGAACCTGTTTTGTGAGCTGACATGCAGCCCTCGCCAGAGTCAGTTTCTGAATGTTACAGCCACTGAAGCGTATGTAGATCCTGCCACGAACCAGACAAAAACAAACGTAAAGGAATTACAGTACTACATTGGACAGAGGTTCGCCGATGGTAAGCAAGCTGGCACCAGGCTAGTGGATCAAGTTTGTTTAAATCACAATACTCAGTTCCCTTGCCAGTGAAATGAGAGTTGTTGCTTGGCTAGTATTCTGGGTCTAGAGTTACAAACAATGTAGCAGTTTCTAAAGTGTTTGCTTTAATCCCTCCCTGACTTTAAGTTTTTGCATAGAGAAGTTTACTTCTGTACATTTTAACAACCTTTGGGACTTCAGTTCTAGTGAATGTCAGTGGTATGCCCTTACGAATCTCTGTAAGATTGAGGAGACAGGAGGCAAGATAGAACTAGCTGACGCTGGAGAGGGAGAGAGGCTTGGAAACATCACCTCTCCCTAAGGGAAAGGAAGCACCACAGAGGGCACATAACTGCCCCCCCCCCACAACAGCTAGAAAACACAGGACAGTGTAAAAGAGACCCTCTGTGACAGGCAAGAGAAAAGATTCCTGAAAGAATAGAATGCTCCACAGAAAGAATGAAACAGAACCAACTGGAACTGTGACTGAGAAATAGCCGTGGGTAGACAGCAGATTAGACACAGCCAGACAAAACAAAGTGTCCAAGAACAATCTACAAAATAACAAAATTAAGAATTCAGCAAAGTTATTGACTGTTAGAGCAACAATGGCTAATTGCAATGACCAATTAAAAATACAACAGAAAAATCCAATAGGAAAAAGATCTCATTGACAAAAGCATCAAAAAGAAAGGTACCTCGGAATCAGTCTTGCAAAAGGTGTGACGTAAAAGCCACCCTGCATGGTTGGAAACGAGATCTGTCCAAAAACAGAACCGTGCACCTGTGGAAAGTTGATAGATGAGAGGTGTGTGGTTACAAACGGAGGGAAAGTTGGGGCTGGCTGATAAATAGGGTGAGAAAATGGGTTACATTCATCTAATTTTTATTTTTACATATTCTAAAAAATGATAGTTTAAAAAACCTTAAGCTTGGAAATGTTACAAACGATACAAAATGTCTTAATGTGACATTAAGGTAAGGAAGGATTTCGTAACAAGAGAAGAAAAGCAGAGATCGGAAATGAAAAGATTCACAAATGTAGACAGTATCTGGAGCATTCAACTAAACACAGCTATTGACAGAGTGATGCACCATTCCTCACATTATTACCGTGGCACAAATTAAGAAGCTGGTCAATTCCAGTCATTAGTGAGAATGCAGAACAGTAGGAATGCTAATAGATTGTACCCCTGGCAACCATAACTGGGCGCAAGTGTTTGAAAACCAACTTTGCATACCTCATAAAGTTGAAGGTAAATACACTTTCACCTCAGCAATTCCTCTTTGGAAGCACTCTGCCTGGGAGAGGCTCTTGATGCATTTATAAAGGGAGAGCCACATGGGAATATCCACTGCAGCACTGGTGTCATTGAGAAAACTCGGAGACATCCCCAAAATGAGAAGACAAGTCACAGACTGGGAGAAAACATTTGGGAAAAACAGTTGATTGCAGAGTGTGACCTAAAATACACAACAGACTCTGAAACCTCAGCAATAAGAAAGCGAACAACTTGGTTGAAAAATGGGTCAAAAACCTGAATGGAAATGACATACAGATGGTAAATAAGTATATGACAAGATGCTCAGGCCAGCGTTTTTTGTGTGTGTGCATTTTTTTCAGTGTTAAGAGTTTTTTTTTTTCTCCCGTGGTGGTGGTTGCTGTTTTTTAAAAAGATTTATTTTATTTATCTGAAAGAGTACAGAGAGAAGTCTTCCACCCGCTGGTTCATTCCCTAGATGGCCACAACAGCCGGAGTTAAGCGAAACCAAAGCCAGGAACCAGGAGCTTCTTCCGGGTCTCCCACGTGGGTGCAGGGGCCCAAGCACTTGGGCCATCTTCTACAGCTTTCCTAGGCCATAGCAGAGAATGGATCGGAAGAAGAGCAGCTGGGACTTGAACTGGCGCCCATATGGGATACCCAGCGCTTCAGGCCAGGGCTTTAACCCACTGCGGCACAGCGCCGGCCCCAAGGCCAGTGTTTTGACGTAGCAGGGGAGCCACTGCCTGTGACACCCACATCCCATGTGGGAGCCGGTTCATTTCCTGCCTCCTCCACTTCTGATTCAGCTCCCTGATGATGGCCTGGGAAGGGCTGCAGAAGATGGCCTAGATATTTGGGCCTCAGCCACCCATGTTGGAGACCCAGATGGGGCTTCTGGCTCCTGGCTCCTGGCTCCTGGCTTTGGCCAAGCCTGGCCCAGCCCAGGCCTCTGTGGCCATCTGAGGAGTGAACCAGGGGTTAGAGGTTACCCCCATCCTTTCCTTTTCCCTTTCCCTCTCCCTTTCTCTCTGTAACTCTGACTTTCAGGAAAAATAGATGGCCCTTTAAAAAAAAGAAAAAGAAAGAAAAAGAAAGCAAGCTCAACATATGTCACTAGGCAATTGAAAGTTTGGAAGTGAAAATAATGTGATGTACTGTGCACCTCTTAGAATGACCAAAACCCAAAATGCTGGCAGGGATGCAGAGCAAGAGGAACTTTATTCGTTGCTGGTGGGAATGCAAAATGCTGCAGCCACTTTGGAAGTCATTTTGACAGTTTCTTATAAAACTGGACATACTTTTTTTTTTTTTTTTTTTTGACAGGCAGAGTGGACAGTGAGAGAGAGAGACAGAGAAAGGTCTTTTTTCCGTTGGTTCACCCTCCAATGGCCACTGTGGCCAGCGCACTGTGCTGATCCAAAGCCAGGAGCCAGGTGCTTCTCCTGGTCTCCCATGCAGGTGCAGGGCCCAAGCACTTGGGCCATCCTCCACTGCACTCCTGGGCCACAGCAGAGAGCTGGCCTGGAAGAGGGGCAACCAGGACAGAATCTGGCACCCAAACCGGGACTAGAACCTGGGGTGCCGGCACCGCAGGTGGAGGATTAGCCTAGTGAGCCGCAGCGCCGGCCACAACTGGACATACTTTTAAATGATCCAGGGATCCGCTTCTTGGTATTTACCCAAATGAGTTGAAAACATGTCCACATGAAAACCTGAAATACTTCACACCATATACAAAAGTCAATTCAAAGTGGATCAAAGGGCATAGCATTTAGCACAGCAGTTAAGACACCACTTGTCATGCCCACATCCCATATCAAAGTGCCTTGGTTTAAGTCCTGCCACTGCTTCCATTCCATCTCCCTGCTACTGGGCACCCTATGGGACACTAGATAATGGCTCAAGTATTTGGGTTCCCTCTGCCACCCACATGAGAGATCTAAATTAAGTTCTGGGCTCCTGGCTTCAGCCTGGCCCAGTCGTGGCTGTTGAGGAGTGAACCAGCAGGTAGAAAATCTCTCTCTGCTTGTTTCTGTCTCTCTCTGCCTTTCAAATAATATTCAAATAATTCAAATAACATTCAAATAATATGAAAATATTTTTAAAATAGATCAAGGATCTAAATATAAGGGTAAAAACTAGAGGGCAGTATTGCAGTATTACAAGTAAAGCTGCCACCTGTGATGTTGGCATCCCATATAGGTACTGGTTCGAGCCGCAGCTGCTCCACTTCCAATCCAGCTCCCTGCTAATGGCTTGGGAAAGCAATGGAAGATGGCCCAAGTGCTTGGGCCACTGCACCCACATGGGAGACCCGGAAGAAGCTCCTTGCTCCTGGCTTTGGGCTGGACCAGCCTTGGCCATTGTGGCTATTTGGGGAGTGAACCAATGGATGGATGGAAATTCCCTCTCTATCTGTAACTCTGACTTTCAAAATAAATAAATCTTTAAAAAATAAAAGAAAGACCTAAAACTATAAAAGACTTAGAAGAAACTACAGGGGAAAGTTTATGAACTCTAATTTGGCAGTGGATATTTAGATATGAAAACAAAAGCATGAGCAGCAAAAGGTAAACCGAACATCATTAAAATAATAATTTAAAAAAAGGCTTGGGACAGGCTTTGTGGTGCAGCAGGTTAAGCTGCTTCTTGGGATGCCCGTATAAAGAAAAGCCATAAAAGAGTAGAAGTGCCAGTGTCATGGCACAGCAGGTTAAGCCACTGTTGTCAAAGCCTGCATACTGTACTGAAGCACAGGTTCAAGTCCCGGCTGCTCTGCTTCCAATCCAGCTTCCTGCTAATGCACATGAACGGCAGCAAATGATGACCATGTACCTGGGCTCCTGCCACCAAGGTGGGAGATTTGGGTGGAGTTCCTGTCTCCTCCCTTCAGCCTAGCCCTGGCCTGGCTACTGGGGCCGTTTGAGGAGTAAATCAGCAGATAGAAGATCTCTCTGGGTCTCTGCCTCTCTCTGTTGCTCTATCTTTCACATAAATAGATAGGTAAGTATCTTACGGGGAAAAAATGGGGGCACACGGATACATGCCACAGCAGGGATGAATCTTGAAGTCATGGTATTGAGTGAAAGAAGCCAGCCACAGAGGCCGTATGTTGTGAATCCATTTAGATGAAATGTTCCAAATGGAGAAGTTGTGAAGTCAGAGAGATGAGTGGTGGCTAGGGCTTGGGGAGACGGGACAGTAGGGGTGATGGCTAAGGAGTACAGGGTTTTCATTGAGGTGCTGCAGATGTCCTAAAGTAGCATATTCACATATTGTGCACTCACAGACACATGGTGATGGTCATGTTTATTTACGAATATTTTAAAGTTCACTAAACTGTATACTTTAAGTGGGTGAGCTGTGTGTAAATTATAGCTCAGAAGTATTTTATTAAAAAAATCTATACTCAGGTATAGCTTGGAAAAAATACGATGAGGGGCTGGCGCCGTGACTCACTTGGTTAATCCTCTGCCTGTGGTGCCGGCATCCCATATAGGCACCGGGTTCTAGTCCCAGTTGCTCCTCTTCCAGTCCAGCTCTCTGGACCTCCTTCACGGGAAGGCAGTGGAGGATGGCCCAAGTGCTTGGGCTCCTGCACCTGCATGGGAGACCAGGAGGAAGCACCTGGCTCCTGGCTTCAGATCGGCACAGCGCCAGCCATAGCGGCCATTTGGGGGTGAACCAACGGAAGGAAGACCTTTCTGTCTGTCTCTCTCTTTCACTGTCTATGACTCTACCTGTCAAATAAAAAAATTTAAAAAAGAAAAAATACGATGAAACGTCAAAGATAAATATTATGGAAGATAGAAAACACATGAATCACGTGACAAGAATGACAGTTGGAGATTTTCTGACCAGCCGTGACCCAGGGCAGAAGACAGTAGAATAATACAGAATTCTGCAGTAGCAACCATCTCTCCAGCCAAGCTGCCTTCCAGGAGGGCAGGCAAAATACAGATAATGTGGGAGTGTCCTCTTGAAGTTTAGGGAAGAAGGTCCTGGGCAGTTGTTTGCAAGCAGAGCTGAATGCATGAAGACTGACGGGACAAAGACCGACTCCCGCTGCTCCCTCACGTGTCTTTGTCACTGCCGTTATCCCGACGTGGTTCGTCATCTCTGTGTTACTGCAGTACACCACAAAGAGAACACTGTTGGCTTCACTCGCACGTGACCTCTGCCCTACAGCCAGTTTCCCTGTAAGCCCCATGCTTCCCCAGCTATGTAGTCACGCTGCCCAGAGTGGCCCTCGGTTCTGACGGCTGCTTCCTGAGTCTCTGTGCACTGGGCGCAGACATCCGGAGCTGCTGTGCCAGCCGTGTGGGGTGATGAAAGCCTTCCCCCACGCCTGTCTGGTTTTTACGTCTAAGTTGTGGATTTGAGACCTGGCCTGGCCCGTGGTTTGCAGGGTGACAAGCCAGCCCAGAGGGAAGCCCCCGCTCCTCCCCTAGAGCTCACTGCCCTCTGCATGGTGGCTGTGCCTGTGGAGTTCCCCGTGCTGGTCCAGGGGCATTTTGAAAGGGCTTGCCCAGTAAGTTAAAGCAGGCATCTGAACCTAGACAGGCGTTGTCTCCATCTCATGCCCTGGGCCTCCTCTCGTAGCCATGTACAACGCCTGCCGGGACGTAGAGGCCCCCTCCAGTAATGACAAGGCCCTGGGCCTGCTGTGTGGGAAGGACGCCAACGCCTGCAATGCTACCAACTGGATCGAGTACATGTTCGACAAGAACAACGGACAGGCACCCTTTACCATCACCCCCATCTTCTCAGGTAGGCGTGACCACTGCCCGGTTGGCCGAGTCTGTGTTTTAAAGCCAAGGCATCGTAATCTGCAGTGGGAGGGTGAATCCAGATAACTGGGTCCTTGGGTTTCTCTCTCTTGAGAGAGGTAACTAAGCAGGGCTGAGAGCGGGAGAGAGGAAGAATTGTCTTTCGGGATTGCTATGTAATTGAAAGAATAAGATGGGGGGGGTGTATTTTATTTTACTGATTTATGTTTAAGACAAACATGTTAGAGGTCTTTTTCAGATCTCTGTGATAGTACCAGCCTCGCTCCTTAGAGTGGAGGTGAGACAAGACGGATGGTTTACTTTGGCATGTAGTATATTTGGGGTCTACTTTGGCATGTAGTATACTTGGGTATCAGTGACAAACAGGATGAGCTGTACAACACAACTTGATGACACAGAAGCCTCCAGTCCTCTCTCTCCTACTTCTGCCCTGTGTTTCAGAGTGCTTATTGTTGGGCTTCAGTGTAATTTAACACAAAGGTTGTAATGTGTTCTATTGAGCTCTCCTCTCAATTCCTCCATGTAGATCTCCCAGTCCGTGGGATGGAGCCCATGAATAATGCCACCAAAGGCTGCAACGAGGCTGTAGATGAGGTCACGGGGCCCTGCAGCTGCCAGGACTGCTCCGTCGTTTGTGGTCCTAAGCCCCAGCCCCCGCCACCTCCCATACCCTGGAGAATCTTTGGCTTGGACGCCATGTATGTCATCATGTGGATCACCTACATGGCATTTCTGTTTATGTTTTTTGGAACGTTTTTTGCAGTGTGGTGCTACAGGTAAGCAGTCCTGTTTGTCCAGGGCGAAAGAGCAAAATTACCTAAATGGCACTTTGAGATTTCCCTTGCAGACTGTTGGTTAGTTAGAACAAGAAATGAATACCTTGATGAATACCATTCGGTGCATCACGTGTGCCCTGCAGCTAGTAGACAATGGAGCCTTGTGCAGACTTAAACACTTGAAATTAGTGTGACTTTAAGAACTGCGCATTAACTACCCGTTCTTTGGAAAGCCATGCTTCATCGGCAGCATCTGACTCAAATCTCAGTGAATGTAGTACTCTGGTCCTTTTAGGTACTTGCATTTGCTTTAAGACAGTAGATTTTTGTTTGTTTGCTTGCTTTTAACTTTTGAAATCTTAGATTTACCAAAAAGTTGCAAATGATGATTTATGTGTCTATTCTTAGCTAACCTCCTCTAAGGTAACATTTTACAGCACTCGTAGTATAATTGTGAAAACCATGAAGATAACATTGGTGAGATGCTACTTGTCAAAGTACAAGCTTCATTCACGTGGCACCGGTTTTCCCTCGGATGCCCTTTTTCTGTGTCGGGGTCCCATGTATACTCACTTCGGGGTTCATTGGCCTCCCCCGGCCTGTGACAGTCCCTCCGTGCCTTCCTTCTGTGGCCGTGCCACTCCCGATTGTGTAGCGTGTCCTTCAGCTTGGCTTCCTCTGATGTTTTGGCAAGAGCATCTCAGATGTGCTGCTGTGTCTTTCTCGGTGCATCACTCCACGGGTGCTTGGTGGCAGGATGTGTCCTCCCTGGTAGTGGTTCCCTCGGTCACGTGGTTAGGGGAGCATCTGCCGTGGTGTTGCTGGTTTTCCCTTGGTAATTGAAGTCTTTCCAGGGGAGGTGCTCTGAGACTGTGCTTGTCCTTCGTTGCTCTTCACCTCGTCACCCACTGATTCCAGCGTCATCGGCAGCCCCCGTCTGCGACAGTCACCGCTGTGGCATCGGCCGCGTGGTGACATTGGGTTTTCCCCATTCGCTGTGTATTTAGTAACCGTACTGAGGGCTCCCCCTTCTCCCTCACTCTGGTATTTGCTCTGTTATTTATATCAGGGGCTTGTTCTTTATTCGGTGGGGTCCTGTCTGATACTGGCATTTGTTTTGTTGCTCAAGCGTTTCCAGTTTGGGCCACTCGGAGTCCTTCCGGTTGGCTCCTGTGTCTTCTCCATGCTTAGCCCAGGCTCACCCTGGGATCAGGCTTGTGGGTGAGCAACCTCACTTCCTTCCGTTGGAGTGTGCTGTTAGAATGCAAGAGGTCGGCACGTCGGGGGCCTGTTGCTGCTGGCGAGGACAGTGTGTTTTAAAGGACCTAAAAGTTTCAAATGTCTATGGGGGCCACAAAGGGAAATCATCTCTTACGAATTTTTAAAAATACTTTCTTAAATTTCCTCCTGAGACTGGTGATCAGAGAGATGCAGAGCAAGGAGGCTTAGGGGGCACGAAGGCTACAGGTGGAGAGGAGAAAGACTTGCCGAGAGCAGGCTGTTGATGGAACCGTGGGACCGTCCGCGTGACAGCCTCACTGTGCAGGAGCCCGCTAATAGTCTGCGTTTGCTTTTATTTTTCAGAAAGCGGTACTTTGTTTCTGAGTACACTCCCATTGATAGCAACATAGCTTTCTCTGTTAACACCAGCGACAAAGGTGGGTGCTCGTGCGTACGCTAAGGTGGTGTTGGCCTGCGAGCCTTCATTTTCTCAGCCAGTTCTGGGGGAGGCGGGGCTGAGGGCAGCCCTGATCGAGGCACAGGTGGCTCTTTGCCTTTGCAGCACAGATCAGAACCAAGTACTTAACAGTAGCCGGGAGGTAACTACGGATGAGGACAGGAGCCACGATGGCGCTAGTGTAGCAGGAGCAGTAGGCAGGGGAGGGACAGGTGGCAGACAGCTTGGCCTCTCCGAGGCTCCCATGTGGCTTCCGTGAGCAGATCCCTAGCCGAGGGCGGGGAGGGGGACCTGTGCATAGCCACAGACGGGCTTGGTTCCTGGCACGTGCCTCTAGCTAATGCTTTCCCTGTTCCAACTTCCAGGAATGGCTTGGCTCTTAACCTCCACCCTCCCTTCCTCTCCCGCCCTTCCAGGGGAGGCGTCCTGCTGCGACCTGCTAGGGGCAGCATTTGAGGGCTGTCTGAGGAGACTCTTCACTCGCTGGGGATCCTTCTGTGTCCGAAACCCCGGCTGCGTCATCTTCTTCTCACTCGGCTTCATCGCCGCGTGTTCTTCAGGCCTGGTGTATGTCCGGGTCACCACCAACCCCATTGACCTGTGGTCAGCGCCCAGCAGCCAGGCCCGCCAGGACAAAGAGTTCTTTGACGCGCACTTTGGGCCTTTCTTCCGGACCGAGCAGCTCATCATCCGAGCCCCCCACACCAACAAGCACACCTACCAGCCGTACCCCTCGGGCGCCGACGTGCCCTTTGGACCACCGCTCGACAAACAGATTTTGCACCAGGTAACCTGCTGTGTACAACAATAAGTCAGCCTGGGGGACCTGGGGTTTGTTGACCAGTTCTACTTAATGTGGATTTGGGACTGAATGTTGAAGTATAAAATGTAACATTAAAGGGGTGCTTTGACCTTGCTTTTCAAGAAAGTGAGTGATAGGTGTTGACCTTGAAAAATGTACTGTGGCCCACCTCGTGTTGGCTCCAGGCAGCAGGTCTTGCCTTGTCCTTGAAAGTGCGCTGGGTATAAGAGGAGTCACGTGTCGGTACTCTGTTGGAGCAGAGTTTAGTAACGAGAAATTCACGTTAGGAATTTGTGGATTGTTTTCCCAGATAGCTGAAAGTAATGTGTGAGGACTTGAAGGGAGGACACCTTTCACACTATCCTGGGGGCTGGGAAAGGAGCCAGGGGATCGCTCCGATCCACCTCGCAGGTGACCTGAGCCCAGGCTCCCAGCCTGCATTTCTGACGAGATCCAAGTGTGTCTTTTACAAAGGCGTTTGAACCCTCTATTCCTATCCCCTGTCACACTGGCCCTGGAGAGCGGGGCCTGTGCGGAAGCTAGATGCTTCTTTTTTAATGGACTACTGCACATTCATGTGGTTTTTCCTGTAAGTGTTACTCTTGGGTACAGAAAGTCTGAAACCTTGAAAAACATCCAAATGATCCTACGCTTGAGTCGCATCTTCACCCAGCAACTGGCTCACTGCAGCAGGTGCACGGCACAGCCCTTGGCTCCCGGGAGCATGTTCTCAATCTGGGAGGATGGGGGTACCCATCAGCAGTGGCCGGGCACAGCTGGGGGGCTGGGAGGCTTGCTGTCGGCCCAGGAGTGCCGGGAAGCCCAGCATCTTGCTCCGGTCTCCCCTCGGGGGCCTTGCTGCTGGAGAAGAGGAGCAGGGAGACGGTCTTGTGTCCTGACCTCTGTCTGGTCAGGGTGCCCCCTCCTCATCTTTAGATGCCTCTAGCCGGGATCTTCATCCCGGTTTCCTATCAGAGTGGGCCTTGGGCTTTACCAGTGTTTTACCGTAACGTGCTTTTATCCTCTCCCTCATCTCAGGAATGGTTTTCCCCAGATACAGCCAGCCCTGCATACCCACAGGCACCGCATCCACAGAGAGAAAATACTAGGAGAAAAAGTGGTGCCTGTACTGAACACTTCAGACTTTTTTCCTTGTCATTCCCTAAACAATGCAGCTTTAAAGCACGCAAGAGTGTGTGTGCAGTCACGTGCCAGTGCTACAGCATCGAACCAAAGGAACTCGAGCATCCTCGGAGCTCAGTATCTGGAGCCGATCCTGGAACTCCTTGTCTCTGACCCCTCAGGGCGCTGCTGCTCAGGCAGCACCTGAGAGAAGTCTGGCTCATTACTGGGTCTACTGATTTTTACAATCGTCTTTCAGGTTCTTGACTTGCAGACAGCCATTGAAGACATTACTGCATCCTACAACAACGAGACTGTGACACTTCAGGACATCTGCTTGGCCCCTCTCTCACCATATAACAAGAACTGCACCATCCTGAGCGTGTTAAACTACTTCCAGAACAGCCATTCCATGCTGGACCACGAGCAAGGGGACGACTTCTTTGTGTACGCCGATTACCACACGCACTTTCTCTACTGTGTCCGGTGAGTGCACAACAGTTGCCAATGCCCCTCCCTGCCCATACTTGAGCACTACGTGATCCAAGGAGTTAGAGACCCAGCAGTGAACAGTCCAAGACCTGCCCTGCCAGGCTTGCATCTTTTATTTTTTTTTTAAGATTTTTATTTTATTTATTTGTTTGAGAGATAAAGTTACAGACTAGAGAGGGAGAGACAGAGAGAAAGTTCTTCTATCCTCTGGTTCACCCCCCAAATGACCACAGCAGCTGCAGTTGGGCCAATCCAAAGCCAGGAGCCAGGAGCTTCTTCCAGGTCTCCTACGCAGATGCAGAGGCCCAAGCACTGGGCCATCTTCTACTGCTTTCCCAGGCCATAGCAGAGAGCTGGATCGGAAGTGGAGCAGCCAGGACTAGAACCAGTGCCCCTACAGGATGCCAGTGCTGCAGGCAGAGGCTTAGCCTATTAAGCCACAGTGCCGGCCCCAAGCTTGCATCCGATTAAGGGAGACAGGCAATCAACAAATAAATATACACACTTATGTTGGCAGAGATGAGTACCCTAAGGAGAAAAGTAAGATGGGGGTGTACTGCTTTAGAGTGGAAAAGGGGAAAGAAAAGAGGCAGCACGTGGATATCCCGGGTAACGTGTTCCAAGCAGAACAAGCAGCAAGCGCCGAAGCCCTGGGGTGAGAGTTTCTGTGGTGGGGGATCCAGGAACAGCGTGATACCGTTCATCCTTTGATCACGGCTGAAGCGGAGCACTCCGTTTCATAACCACATCCACCCCTAGGAGCTGACGCTGGAAGTCCATCATGAGAGTTCTTGCCTTTCGGATATAGTCACGTATCACGATAGCAAATCATGTTCCAAACATACAGCCTGCGCCCCTGAAGCCGTGGGAGTGTGTGAGCGTGCAGCTTTACCTGCAGGGCCCTGTAGCCGCCTCCCTAAGGAGGAATGTCCAGCTGGGCAGGGCACACTTCCAGTGGGGATTAGTCACCAAGGGAAGTGTGTCTGGGTCACCGACGAGGGGATCTTGAGGCGTTTAGAGATCTCGAGGCGTGTCCCCAAGAGCAGCATAACACAGACAGGCCTGCTCTCCCCGAATGCCTTGGATCTGGCCCGGGGACAGTTGTTTGCTCAGTCGCACAGCCACAGTGGCTGTTTGTTCTTTGTGCCGAGAAGCAGTTCCTTGTCGTCGCCGAGCGCATTGCTGCACTGAGCACGTCTCAAGAGCTGAGCTCTCTGGCTTCTGGTTCTCGGGTCTCCCGTGACCTGGAGTGCTGTGTGCTTCTGGACTGTGTCTTCAGGCAGCTGGGCCATGTGTACTCTGTTGCAAGGGTGTCGCCTCCAAAACCATGAGTTACACTCATAATTGTTTCTAATTCATTTCATTTGAAAGGCAGAGAAAGAGATCTGCTATCTATTGATTGACTCCTCAAATGCCCAGAACCTCCGGGGCTGGGTTAGGCCAAAGCCAGGTGTCAGGAAGTCAATACAGCTCTTCCACATGGACTTAAGTACTTGAACCATTACCTACTGCCTCCCAGGGTACATGTTAGCAGGAAGCTGGAATCAGGTTGCAAACCCAGGCACTCAGTATAGGATGTGGGTGTCCCAACCACTAGCCCACATGCCTGCCCCATAAACCAGCCTTCTGGAGAGGGTAAACAGTACAGGGGAGCCACAGGAAATCTGAAACGAAATACGGAATACATGCGTGGTGTGTAGTCACGCTGACGTGGGTCCTGTGTGAGCCTGGGCCCATCCCTAGCTCTCACCTTTTTCCTCGCCTTCCCACTTTTCCTGGGCTTTTCCACCTGCAGGTCCTGCGGGAATGGCAGTCTCTGTCCACCCAGAACTGAGCACAGACTTGCCGCTTTCCCACCGTGTCATTTACTCTCATTGACATCCACCAGTTCCTCAAACGCGCAGCTTCCTCCCTGAGTCTCTCCTCCTCCTGCTGGCCTCGTGCCATCCTCGTGGTTTTAACCTCTGGATGATCTCTCCAAGCTGTCACATGGAGGCAGAGGGGGGCTGTGGGTTCAGTGCTCGGCCTCTTACTGCAAATGACTGACCTCCAGAACGTAAACCACTCCCCAGCAGCCCCGATGGGTGGGTTATATGCAAGAACCTCCCCAAGCACCCAGTGGAGTTCTGCCGAGGATCTGCCGTCAGGTGCCACTGCCCTGGGCAGGGCTCATCTGCTGCCGGGCGCCTCCAGCTGGGCCACTGCACAGACCTTCTGGTTGCACTCCTTGCTTTCTGTTTTTCTCTTTTTTTTCTTTTTCTTTTTCCTTCTTTGTTTCATTTGAAAGGGAGACAGATGAGCTGACCATCCGGGTCTCCCACATGGGTGGCAGGAGTCCAAGTACTGGAGTCATCTGCTGCTGCCTTCCCAGGTGCATTAGCTGAATCAGAAGCAGAACAGCCAAGAATCGAGCCAACAGTCTGATATAGGATGCCCATGTTGCAGGCAGCAGCTCAGCCCACTGTGCCACAGAGCTGGCTCCTACCGAGCAGCGTCTTCACCTCTGCCCCGCGTGCCTGCCCCTTGTTTCCTGCTTCTTTCCCACTTCCATACCGCCTTCCCCTTTTTCACCCGAGTTATATTTTTTTTGTTTTTGTTTTTAATCTGTTTACTATTTTTTTAATTTTTTTTTATTTAATGAACATAAATTTCCAAAGTATAGCTTATGGATTACATTAGCCCCCCCCCATAACTTCCCTCCCACCCACAACGCTCCCCTCTCCCTCCCACTCCCTCTCCCCTTCCCTTCTCATAAATAAGAGTGCCAATTGTTAAATCAACAACGGGAGTCACTGGATACATGCTCTCCACGTAGGATCTCTGCCCTTAATGTGTTTAACTATGAAACTTAAAAACAACACTACTAGTCGAACAATACCCTATACCTTGTGCGGTTGTGTGAGTGCAACCTGTTGAAATCCTTGCTTAGTATATACTAAGTTGATCTTCAGTATATGAAGGTAATTGAAAATGAAACGTGGTGAAGGGCGGGATGGGAGAGGGAGTGGGAGAGGGGAGGGCCGAGTTATATTTGTAAAATAGCCCGTCCCCTCCCTTTCCCGAAAATCTCTGTTTGCTCCCCAGTGCCTCTGGCATCAAAATTCTAACGACTTCACTGAGTCCTTGGTTCTGCATCATCTGTCCTTTACCCTCTCCGGGCCTGTTCCCTCCTTCAGTAGCCCCTTCCTGGGTGCCCGAAGCTCCAGGACAGGACTGCTCGCCATTCCCCTAATTGCCATCCTCTTGCTCTCATCCCGTCTCACGTGCCTGTTTTCTGACTGTCCCACTCCTCTCTCCTCCACCACTGTCATTCATGGGACGGAAGACCCGCTTTTCCTCCCTCCCTGGTGAAGTGCCCTTGTGTGTAGATCTGATCAGGGCTCTGCTTTTGGAGTTGGTTTGCCCTCATGTCATTTGCTGCCTCATCTGCCCACACAGCGTCGTGCACCACCTGCTATTGATGGCCCAGGCCTGTATCTGCCTTCCCCTTGCCCAGTGTTTCTGAGCCCCCAAAGGCAGGTGTTGAGTTCCTAGGCAAAAGAACCTTGGGGACCATATTGGGCTCAGAATACCGTCTGCCTCATTAAGTGTTTATTGTGTAAATGGTTAGGCCTGTGGTGTCTCGAGGATTGTTCTAACTGGAGGTTTTCTAAACTTTCTGGCAGGGTTCCTGCCTCTCTGAATGATACAAGTTTGCTCCATGATCCTTGTCTGGGCACATTTGGTGGCCCAGTGTTCCCGTGGCTTGTGTTAGGAGGCTATGATGGTAAGTAAGAGATGCGTTTACTTGTCCTGTTCCATTGTGTAGTCTTGGTTCTGTGATTCATACTCAGTGGTAATTAGGAAGATTGTTAATTCCCTATGTCGTGAATGCCAAATGTAGTACCTCACCTAGCTGTGGGTTTTATTCTGCATTTAAAAGCAGTGGGCTATGTTCACCTTTCTGAGGTCACACTTGCCTCAGAGAAGCTAAGAATGTCTCCCTGGAATAATGCAGTTGCACACAGCCACACACGTCCAGTGTCAAAGAGGTCCCCGGCCTGGGAAGCTCACCTGCAGAACTCCAGGTGGTCAGTCCCTGGACCGCAGGTTAAGAACCAGCCCCTCCCATGGGGGAGAGGAAGAGCGAGTGGAGTGCCGGGGAAGCAAAGTAGATGGATTGATTTTTCTTTTGAATTAGTCAGTTAAGAGTGTGGGTACTTGGATATTGGGAAGGGCAGTTAGTTTGCCCTTTGCTGGTTCCTGTGACACACCTTGGGACAGACTGTGCTAGATAAGAGGGCGTGGTGATTCATCAGACACCTGTGGCATCTGAAGCCCAATCAGAGGCTCAGCTGGTTTTTCTTTAGCCAGTGAAGAAGCCAGAAGAGTTTTCTCCTCACTCAGTAGCAGGGGAAAAGTTGGGATTTGTATTTAAAATGTGTTCTGTCATAATAATGTAACATAGCATAGCATAGCATAACATTACAAACATAACATAACATAACACAACATAGCATAACATAACAAACATAACATAACATTACATAACGTAACTTTACATTACATTACATAACACCATTTCCCATCGATGGGAGAGCAGTGGAGTCAACAGCTGGCCACAGGGAGAAAATTCTATTTGATCTCTGCCTTACTGCTTCTGCCAAAATAAACATCACATGGATCAAATATCGAGATACAAGAAGCAACCCTGTTAAAGAACTGGAAGAAAATACGGAGGAAAATGTTTTAAGTAATCTTAAAATGGCAGGGGCATTTCTAAGCCATGAAACCCAGGAGCCATCAGAGTTCCAGCAGAGGAACTTGGCTACATAAAAATTTGAAGTTCATATGTGAAGAATAGACATGCAGTTAAAAAGAAACAAGAAACTAGACAAAACAGATTAATATACTTGCCAGATAACGTTTCCTTACTGTATAAAGAGTAAACAACCTGTGAGAACAGTGGTCGAGGCCGTGTGAAAGCTAAGAGACTCCCATGGCACTTGGTGTCCAGGAGGAAACATCCACCTCTGTTGGTGAAAGTATCCTCTCACCAGTGTTTCTACCTAGTGGGTCGGCGAGAGCCTAAGAGGTGGATGGACCACTGTGCCCGTGAAAATGTGGGACACTCTCCACTGCAGTGGAAATATCAGCTGGTTACTAGAATGTAGAAAGACAGGATTCTTCTCTCTTGTTCACTAGAACATCCATTGTCCCTAAAATACAGCCTGGCTCAAAGTAGATCTACATAAATATCTTACTGAACAAAGGAATGAAAAATAGTATACTCTCTTTGGAGGGCAATTTGAGAGAATTTATCAAAATAAAAACGCATGTTTTTTATTTAGTGATTGTAAGAATTGATTATAAATGTATATTTTACACATCAGAGATATTTGTAGATTATTCTTTGTAATAGCAAAAGAAGTTGCACAAACCTCCAGCTGTTGGGGATTGGTTACTTTACACCAGAAAATACTCTCAGCAGAAAAAAGAGAAGGAAGCTGGGGAGTGCTCAGATGGCGCAGTGTGCAAGACACAGAGTCTGTGGATGCCGCACGCGGCGCCTTCTGTTCCCGTGTGTGTAGGAAGGGAAGAGGAGGAATCCTGTTTGCTGTGTGTGCATGGGATATCTCTCGAGAGATTCGCAGACGGCCGCAGTGTTAGGAGGGGACTCACGGTGGGGATAGGGATTGGACAAAGAAAGAATGCCTTCCCCTTCCCACTGAAGAGTTTTCTGCTCTGTTTGAAATTTCCACCACGAGCATACTGTGTAGTTAAAAAGAAGTTGACTCTTCCTGAGTGGCAAGTGTGCACACCTCAGGTAGACACGTACAGAACATTTTGGCCCGCTGCTGCTTTGTTCCGAGAGCAGAGCTGCCGTGTGTAGCTCCAGGAGAGATCAGAGGCAGCTCAGTTGTGTTCTGATTTTTCTCCTTGAATTTTTCTGACCTTCTGCACCCTCGTAATCTGCTTTTTGATGTCATATTTTCCTTTCTAGATCAAAACTACAACAATGCCACCGCCCTCGTGATTACCTTCCCTGTCAGTAATTACTATAATGATACAGAGAAGCTCCAGAGGGCCAAGGCCTGGGAAAAAGAGTGAGTCACTGGCAGAACTACGTAGGCTGTCCTCGCTGTGTGTATGGGGGGGAGGGGGGGGGGCGGGGGTGGATGTCTACAAGCACTGGAAGATCACTCCACACTGACCAAGTTAGGGTGGTTGCTTCCACTTGACACTAGTGATGCTAAAAAGAAATCTACAAACAAATTCATCTATAAACATGTGATTTAAACAGGTACTCCTGACGAAGAATGCAAAAGTATTTATGCACAATATGTATTTTTTTCTAACAGCCAGAGCATGCTGATTGTTCAAAAAAAAGATTTATTTATTTATTTGAAAGAGAGAGATCTTCCATCTGCTGATTCACTCCCCAAATGGCCGCAGAGGCCAGAGCAGGAACGGTACAAAGCCAGGGGCCAGGAGCCCTGTGGCTGCAGGGGCCCAAGCACTTGGGCCATCTTTTGCTGCTTCCACAGGGGCATGAGTAGGGGTATGGATTGGAAGAGGAGCAGCCATGACCCTAACCAGTGCCCCTATGCAATGCTGGCATCTGAGGCAACAGCTTTACCCCCTGTGCCACAGCACCAGCCCCTGAATGTCCCATTTATCTTGTGTCTGTCCTTGTGCTGATATTACACAATGTCTTGATTACTGCTGTTTTTTAGGAAGTTTTTTTTTTTTTTTAAGATTTTATTTATTTATTTCAGAGGCAGAATTATAGACCTAAACAGAGATAAAGGTCTTCCATCCTCTGGTACACTCCCCAAGTGGCCGCAACAGCCAGAGCTGAGCCGATCCAAAGCCAGGAGCCAGGAGCTTCTTCCAGGTCTTCCACTTGGGTGCAGGGGCCCAGGTGCTTGAACCATTTTCCACTGCTTTCCCTGGCCACAGCAGAGAGTTGGATCAGAAGAGGAGTAGCTGGGACACCAACTGGCGCCCAGATGGGATGGTGGCACTACAGGCGGAGGCTTAGCCTACTATGCCACAGTGCCAGCCCCCTTTTAGAAAGTTTTGAAATTGAGAAGTGTTCTTGTTCTTGAAAAAGGGATTTTTTTTTTTACTTATTTACTTTTTAAAGATTTATTTATTGATTTCAAAGGCAGAACTACAGAGAGAGAGGAGAGATAGCCTCCATCTGCCGCTTCACTCTCCACATGGCTATAACAACCAGGTTACAGCCTGGTTTGGGCGAGGCCAAAGCCAAGGGCCTCATCTGGGTCTCCCACGTGGGAGCAGAGGCCCAAACTCTTGGTACTTCCTCTGCTGCTCCACCAGGCACATCAGCAGGGAGCTGGTTGGGAAGTGGAACAGCCAGGACTTGAACCAGTGCCCACATGGGATGCTGGCATTGCAAGCAGCAGCCCAACTCACCATACCACAATGCTTGCCCCGAAAAAGAATATTTAACTGTTCTAGGCCTTGTGTAATTCCATATAATTTTAGTCACCTTGTCATTTCCTACAAAGAAGTCACCTGGGATTCCGGTGGGTATTGTGTTGAATCTGTAAAAGTTTTTCAGTTTTGTTCCATGAGTTTATATCTTCATTATGGTATACTTCACTTAGAAACAGAGCCTGAAGCACTTTTAGACTTGTTCTAAACCTGGGTTAAGCAGTAGAAAATTCAGCATGTGTGTCTGGAACTATGGCCATCGCCCGGGAGTGTCTCACATTCCGGTGAGCAATGAAGAAGGCCCACGTGCGGTGTGGCCTCTGTGTTGGGAAAGTGCAGGAAACATCTCTTCCTTAGGTGTTACTAAGCTTTAACTGAAAATAGGAAATTTTGCTTACTCTTCAGGTTTATTAATTTTGTGAAAAACTACGAGAATCCAAACCTGACCATCTCTTTCACTGCCGAGCGCAGTATTGAAGATGAACTAGATCGCGAAAGTAACAGCGACGTCTTCACCGTCGTCATTAGCTATGCCGTCATGTTTCTGTATATTTCCCTGGCCTTGGGGCACATCAAAAGCTGCCGCAGGTTTCTGGTAGGTGGGGGCTCAGTGTGTCTCGTGTGTGTGTCCGGGGAAATGGCTTAGCACAGCTTGTTGTCCTATTTTGCTTCTACTTCTAAACTGTCGTCAGTTCCATATTTTCATCGTGTGTAATGTTGGTTTCCTGCATCCGTTTTCTTCAGGACCAGTTTTTTGACTTAAAGTGTATTTCCATCCAGGTTTTTCTCACTTGTCTGTTCTGTCACCTAACAACGCAAGCTCGTGAACTGTGTTCCTAGGGAAGCCCTCGACATTTTCCCACACCTTCTCTTGAACTGGGAATCGTACTCCTAACTCTGGGTGGCATGTGCCCTTCTAAGGAAGTGAAAGTGAGGCCAGCAGCCCCTCTGACGGGCGCTCTCTGCGTGCTCGCCTCTCTCAGGTGGATTCGAAAGTCTCCCTGGGCATCGCGGGCATCCTGATTGTGCTGAGCTCGGTGGCCTGCTCCTTGGGCATCTTCAGCTACATTGGGATCCCCTTGACCCTCATCGTGATCGAAGTCATCCCATTCCTGGTGCTGGCTGTCGGGGTGGACAACATCTTCATTCTGGTGCAGACTTACCAGGTGTGTGTGCGTGTTCTCATGGCGCTCGGTCCCCGTCCCAGCGCCTGCCTCTGTGCACGGTGAATGAGGGTGTGAGGGGCTTTGTGTTCTTTCCCTGGGGGGCCCTTTGAGCTCCATGACTTGTTCTGCATCGGTGGGGACCAAGAAATTCACTCTTCCCTCTGGCTGGCAACATAGATATCAGGTGACAATTTGGTTTTAATTAATGCCTTTTTTGCACATGCACAAAAATGGCTATCCCATGCTTTTGGAAACTGTTTCGGGAATGACTGTTGCTAAAACAGTCCTCAGTGTAGCGTGCAGAATGGCAGATTTGCTGTGTGCAGAGGCGCCACTGAGGAGGGGGGAGAAAGTGGTCTCCAGCGGCGTCATGCGGCCCCTGCCTCAGAAGTTCCGTGGCGTGTAGGTGTTACTTGGTGTCCCAGGTAGTTTTAGATAACACGCTCGCATTTCTCACCTGGAACCTAGAGCAGTAGTTCAGCAATACTCCGAATAAATTAATATGAGAACATACATTTGCCAAAATGTATGTACTTAGAAGCCACTGTTACTCAACTATCTTTTTTCTTTCCTGTTGAGTTAACGTAGGTAGCCTTGTTATTGAGGGACGTTAATGTTGCTTTTACTTTTTGTTTTTCTCAAGAGAGATGAACGTCTTCAAGGGGAAACCCTGGACCAGCAGCTGGGCCGGGTCCTGGGAGAAGTAGCTCCTAGCATCTTCCTGTCCTCCTTTGCCGAGACGGTAGCATTTTTCTTAGGTAGGTACACTTTCCATTCTGTGTGTCCCATAGTATGCCGAGCTGGGTGTCGGAGGATGCCGCTTTGTGCTGCCTCCGCTTCTAAGCTTTGTTCCCTCATTGGAAAGTGTCCCTGACTGGACCACAAGAAAAATTGCTAGCAGTATGTGGGGTGTCATTTTGTGGGTGTCTTCTTTCTCATGTTAAGTTTCAGAGCACTGTTGATGCTGGGGTTCAGGATGACAGACCCTGTAACTCTTCTTGTCATCTCCCCTTTGGGGTGCCCGGTGAATGTTAGTGTTTGAAAAATGGCCTCCAGTATAGTGCAGAATCCGTCTCAACACAAGGCACTAAGTGGCCACTCCCAACTCCACAGGTGTCGGTGTGCCCGATGCCCTGCTGCTGTTTCCATGGGTAGGCGGTCCTTGGAAAAGCAGCTTCCTGCGTGAGCAGAGGTCCTTGAATCTCAGTACAAGGAGCAGGAAGGAACTGGGACAAAAATTCACGTTTCTTTCTAAGTTGTGTCTGGAAAGATCACCAAATAGATGTGGCAGTGGGGCTGCCTGCCCGTCTCTGTGCTGCAGTCAGGGAAAAGCATCTGTGTCCTCCATAGAGGAGGCTGAATTAGAACCCTCCATCCAAACAGGACCTGGGGTCCACAATCACAGACAGGATGGCCGTGCGGCTGCCAGGTCAGCTTTCACAGGCTGATGAATGATCGAGGCGGTATCCCGTCCACACACACACACACACATCGAGGCGGTATCCCGTCCACACACACACACACACACATCGAGGTGGTATCCCATACACACACACACACACACCCCGCATCAGCATGTCACCTCTCATTTCCACAAAGCCTCGTGCTCGTGGAACCCACAGCCATTATCTGGGACCTTCTGATGGACACGGATGCACCCTGGAGTTATCTCTTCATCTCTGACAGAAGAAAAGCAGAGCCTGGGTGATGACAACAGCAGCTGACACTGTGCCCCAAGGCTGGACTGCCCTTGGCGGTCAGCGGGAGTGCACCCCACACGTGTGTGTCCCATCCAGAGAGGCAGTGAGGTGTGCTCAGCCCAGGGCTGCCGGCTCTGACTTCTCTTACCCCCGAAACCACATTGGGTATCTTTGACTTGGAGCACCCTTGTCTGACTGTAGACTGCTTCTTACTGTAACTCACTGGGAGACTGAAGTTGTTGACATACTAGACAGGAATCCCTGTCCTTCTCTGTGGGCAGCCTGGAAGGGAGAAGGCCTGTGTGAGCAGTTCGCAGATTTGAGTGATGCACCTGGATTTCAGCAGTATGGGGCTTTGGCCCAGGAATGCACGTTTTTAAACCCCCTGCGTGGTCTGGTGCTGACAAATCTTAGAAGACAGTTTATAGACGCCACTCCCTGCTCTGGCCCGACCCCCGTGGTGTGTTCGCAGCGCGGGCGGACCTGTCTGGCTCCTTGGCTCTGTCCGCCGAACCCTGTGGAGTCCTCTGCCGTCAGGTGGCTGATGAGAGCGTCCCTTGCCCTTGCAGGAGGCCTGTCGGTGATGCCGGCCGTCCACACCTTCTCCCTGTTTGCGGGGATGGCGGTCTTCATTGACTTCCTCCTCCAGATCACCTGCTTTGTGAGTCTTTTGGGATTAGACATTAAGCGTCAAGAGGTAAGTTGTCACCAGGATTGCAGACCTTTCTATTTGATCTAGACCTAGATGAAGCAGCCAGAGCAGGTTCCGTGACCCGTGCTCCTCTCTGTTCCCTCAGAAAAACCAGCTGGACGTCCTGTGCTGCTTCAGGGGTGCAGAGGCTGGGACGAGCATTCAGGCCTCCGAGAGCTACTTGTTTCGCTTCTTCAAAAACTCCTATTCTCCACTTCTGCTCAAGGACTGGATGCGGCCCATTGTGGTAGGAGCCTGCCTGTGGTTTCTCTCGTTCTCCCCAAAATGGATTGTCACATGCCTTCTAAGAAACAGCTGGGGAAGGAGATTCTGACAGCTGTTAGAATACGCATGTGGGGGCAGGTGTCATGGCACAGCAGGTTAAGCTACTGCTATGACGTCAGCATTCCATACCAGAGAACCTGGTTGAGCCCTAGCTACTCCACTTCTTTTTGTTTGTTTTTGTTTTTGCTTGTTTTCGTTTGAAAGGCAGACTTACAGAGAGAGAGAGTCTTCCATCTACTGGTTTATCTCCCAAATGGGCACAATAGCCGGGGCCGGGCCAGGCCAAAGCCAGGAGCCAAGAGCTTCATCTGGGTCTCCCATGTGGGTGGCAGGAGCTCGAGCACTTGAGCCATCTTCTGCTACCTTCTCAGGCACAAGAGCAAGGAGCTGGATTGAAAGTGGAGCAGCCAGGACATGAACCAGCACCCGTATGGGATGCCAGTGCTGCAGGTGGTGGCTTAATCCATTGCATCACAACCCCAGCCCCACTACTCCGCTTCTGATCCACCTGCCAATGCCCCGGGGAAGGCAGCAGGTGATGGCCCAGTACTTGTGTCCTTTCCACCCATGTGAGAGACTCAGGTGGAGCTCCTGGCTTTGATATGGCTTAGCCATGACCATTGCAGGGAGTGAAGAGGTAGACAGAAGATCTCTCTCTTTCTCTATCTCTGTCTCCCTCTCTGTCTCTGTTTCTGTCTTTTCCTCTCTATCACTCTGCCTTTCAAATAAATAAATATTTTTGAAAAAGAAAGATATATACTGGGTGTGTATGTTTGGTGCTGTGGTTTCAGATTCTGCTTGGTACATTCACATCCCATATCATAGTCCCTGTGTTCAAGTCCCAGCTCCTCCACTTCTGATCCAGCTCCTTGCTGATACACAGCCTGGGAAGCAGCAGATGATGGATGGCTTAAGTACCTGGGTCGCTGCCTGCCATGTGGGAGACCCTGTTGGAATACCAGGCTTCTGGCTTTGGTCTGGCCTAGGCTCAGCTGTTGTAGGCATTTTGGGGAGTGAACTAGCAGATGGTTCTGTCTCTCTACCTTTCAAATAAAGTGAAAAATAATTTTTTAAAGATGTATTTATTTATTTATTTGAAAGGGAGAGCTACAGAGAGGCAGAGAGAGAGAGAGGTCTTCCATTTGCTGGTTCACTCCGCAAATGGCCACAATGGCTGGAGTTACACAGATGCAAAGCCAGGAGCCAGGAGCTAATTCTGTGTCTCCCATACAAGTGCAGAGGCCCAAGGATTTGCACCACTGCGTTCAGACCATAAGCAAAGAGCTGGATCAGAAGTGGAGCAGCCAGGACTCAAACAGGCACCCATATGGGATGCCATCACCACAGGTGAAAGCTTAGCCTACTAAGCTACCACTTTTTAAAAAAAATTTAAAATTTATGTACATATTTATATAGGTACAAAAACTTGAAATATTTTTCTAGTGAGATTTTTATTAGTGTAAGCAACAGTTCTTTAAGTTTTTATCTCAAAATAAGTAGATTTCCAGAGCTGCAAATGTAGTCCAGTGAGGAACCAAGTTCCCTTGCCCCAGTTTCCTCCAGGGGTGCATTTTACATAAATGTACTCCCACACCAAATCCAGGACTATGACACAGGCACACCGTGTGTGATGTCTACATTACTACACATGCTTTATGGTTAACCTTCTCCTTCTCTCTCTGCTTTTGAAATAAATAAGTAAAAATAGTTTTTTAAAAAATTTAAATAAATATTAATGGAGCCAGCATTGTGGCACAGCAGGTTAAGTCACTGCCTGTGACACCAGCAACCCATATGGGTACTGGTTCAAGTCCTGGCTACTCTACTTCTGATCCAGCTCCTGCTAATTGCCTGGGAAGAACAGTGGAAGGTGGCCCAGGTGTTTGGGCCCCTGCACCCACATGGGAGACCCGGATTGATTTCTAGGCTCCTGGCTTTAGCCTGGGCCATCCTCAGCCTAGCCCTGCTCTGGCCATTGAAGCCATATGGGGAGTGAACCACCAGATGAAATCTCTCTCTCCCTTCCTTTCAAATAAATAATGAACAAATCTTTTTTTTTTTTTTTAAGTTCACCTATGCTTTATCTAAGCACATGCTTTCCAATGTGCTTACCTTGTTTTGACTTGATCATCTCTTATGTTTTAGGGTTTTTTTTAGAAAAAGATTTTACTATTTGAGAGGCAGAGTAAGAGAGAGAGGGAGAGAGAGAGAGAAAGGTCTTCCATGGGGCCAGCGCTGTGGCATAGTGGGCTGAACACCTGTCTGCAGCGCCTGCATCCCATATGAGCACCGGTTCCTATGCCAGCTGCTCCTCTTCTGACCCAGCTCTCTGCCACGGCCTAGGAAAGCAGCAGAGGATGGCCTGTGTGCTTGGGCCCTGTTCCTGCATAGGAGACCCGGAAGAAGGGTCCTGGCTTCAGATTAGCCCAGCTCCAGCCGTTGTGGCTATTTGGGGAGTGAGCCAATGGATGGAAGATCTCTATCTCTCCCTCTCCCTCCACCTCTCCCTCTCTCTCTCTCTCTCTCTGTAGCTCTGCCTCTGAAGTACATAAATAAATCTTTAAAAAGAAAAGAAAAGAAAGGTCTTCCATCACTGTTTTACTCCCCAAATGGCTGCAATGGCTGGACCTAAGCCAATTTGAAGCCAGAAGCCTAGAGCTTCTTCCAGGTCTCCCACGTGGGTGCAGGGGCCCAAGCACTTGGGCCATCTTCCACTGCTTTTCCAGGCCATTAGCAGAGAGCTGGACTAGAAGAAAAGCAGCTGGGACTTGAACCGATGCCCATGTAGGATGGCAGCATTGCAGGCAGAGGCTTAGCCTACTGCGCCACAGCACCGTCCCTGCAGACTAAGGTTTAAGAACATTTGAGGATGGTGTTGGGCAGTGTGTGGCCCTTTTCCATTAAGATCTCTGCAGCCCACGTGTAGAACTGTCCCATCACCACCCAGAGGTCTTACAGTGTCCCCAGGCCCCCTCCCGGTCACTCGCATTCCGTGCAGGGACTTTATATGGGTTATAGACTAGATGTAGCTAGCAGTGATCATCTGTCACTTCTCTACTAAAAAAACATAAATTCATGTCTGGTGATAGTACGAAGCAATAGTGGTACCTGGAACAGTGAGTATCAGTTGGGAACGATGCTAAAGTCTGGATCACCCGTGGGTTTTCTTATTGAATCCATGCTGCTATCTGTTGCAGCAAGTCTGTTAATTCTCCTGATGAAGAAATAGAAGCCAGGTGCAGGGTCTTTGAACTCTAAGTACAAGGCTGGGATTCGAACCCACAAATTTTGGCTCTGGATACTGTGGCCCAGATACTACCCCCGTACTCCCTGTCGTCTCTACACGTTATGTAAACTTGCTTTTCGGTTTAGAAAAATCCTGCTTTTTTGCATGTGTTAAAGATTTCTTTTCTGTCCCTCAGCTTGTTGTGACACTGAACAAGCACTTTTTCTTCCAGATAGCGGTATTTGTGGGCGTTCTCTCGTTCAGCATCGCAGTCCTGAACAAGGTGGAAATTGGATTGGATCAGTCTCTCTCAATGCCTGACGTAAGGCCCTGTCTTTAATGAGGCTTATGTGGCTGGTGATGAGTTTTTCAGAGCATGCTCTTGAGTGTTTCCAGCCAACACCTGCCTGGAAATGCAGACGCACACAGACTCCCTGGCTTTTAACGGGAGCTGCTGTATCGCGGGGCAGTGGGCTGCTCTGGCATTGGGAGCTTCCGCCCTCAGGGCACAGCCATGGATTGGGAGCCAATGGCCTTGTGAGGCAACCTCCTGACCGTGGACAGGAGGTGGGGGAAGGGCGGGGGGAGGGGGATGCCCTGGCTGTGCCGGGAGTCCCGAGTGCAGGCCGGCGGTGTCGGGCAGCCTGGGCCCTCTGAATTCCTAGTGGTCTCCGTCTCGCTTGTCCTCAGAGCGTTTAGACCCCCGCCGTCCTTCGGTCTGTCTTGCAGGACTCCTACGTGGTGGATTATTTCAAGTCCCTCGGGCAGTACCTGCATGCGGGGCCGCCCGTGTACTTTGTCCTGGAGGAAGGGCACAACTACACCTCCCTGCAGGGGCAGAACATGGTGTGCGGCGGCCTGGGCTGCGACAACGACTCCTTGGTGCAGCAGATATTCAACGCGGCCCAGCTGGACAACTAGTCAGTACCGCCTCGCCCCTCTCTCGGGGCTCCTTTCAAAGCCCGCGTTCAGTCTCGGCTGGCCTGAGCGCTGCCTCTCGGAGGCCTACAGTGCCGGGGGCTCTGGTGGTGGTCTCGTTCCGGGCTCTGCGTGTCTCTCTGGGCGACTGGGGGGGGGGGGGCGTCAGGACGGTTCTGAAGTGGGAGGCGTCCTCCGCGTGGAGCTTGGCGGCCATCGCTTCCTCCTTTCCCCAGCACCCGCATCGGCTTCGCGCCCTCCTCCTGGATCGACGATTACTTCGATTGGGTGAAGCCGCAGTCGTCTTGCTGCCGGGTCTCCAACGTCACGGAGCAGTTCTGCAACGCCTCAGGTACCGTCGCTCCCGCCCCGCGGCTCCCTTCCTCCCGGAACACCTTGGCCTCGGCATTCACTAAGTGTTTGCATCTCTCCTCAGTACATGCCCATGCTGGGTCTTCCGTCCCTCGCCACGCTCCCCTACCTCACCACGTGTGCGAACTGCCACGTGTTCCTGTCCCTGCACCACTTGGGGCTGCAGGCTGCATGCGGCCCACAAGGGGACTCCGGCTCCCAGATTCGGGTCCTCATCTTGCCCTGACCACACCCATTGCTCTGACGGGCTCTGGCCTTGGCTGTCCTGTTTGTCACTGCTGCTGCCTGGTGTTGTAGGAGTGTTGGAAGTCTGGAATTCTCCTAACACGTGCGAGCCCTGGTGTCGGATGACACCAGTCGTGGTCAGCACTGAAGCAGACTCTGCTGAGTCTTCCTGAGGTTTTAAGCAGTGTGTCAGACTCAGCAAGCAGTGGACCACGGGGGGCGGAAGTTTCTGGATAAGGGGAGAGATTTCGGGAGAATTCCCTCCCTTCTTAGTATTTTTTTCGTGCTTTTATTTAAAAACACTATCAGAAGCCTGCTCCTCTAACGCGCGGCTCCCCCCTCGTGTCTCCGCCAGTGGTGGACCCTGCCTGCGTCCGCTGCAGGCCGCTCACCCCAGAGGGCAAGCAGAGGCCTCAGGGGGAGGACTTCATGAGATTCCTGCCCATGTTCCTGTCTGACAACCCCAACCCCAAGTGTGGCAAAGGGTAAGTGGCGCCGGCCGCCTCGCACCAAACAGATGCAGTGAGGCCCAAGCAGGCGAGAGTGGGCTGACACCTGCCTCGCTCCCTGGTCGGGAGGCCCAGCTGGGTGCCACCTGCGAGCCAGGGCGGCATGACTTCACTGGGCTGCCAGGGCTCAGCTGCCATGGGCGTCGGGCTGGGAGCCGCCTCTCTGACGCCCGTCTCTGTGCCCAGGGGACATGCTGCTTACGGCACCGCAGTCAACATCCTGGGCAACGGCACCGAGGTCGGGGCCACGTACTTCATGACCTACCACACCGTGCTGCAGACCTCGGCCGACTTCATCGACGCCATGAAGAAAGCCCAGCTGATAGCCGGGAACGCCACCGCCACCATGGGCCTGAAGGGCAGCCGTTGCCGGGTGTTCCCGTACAGGTAGGGCGGGGTCTCAGTGGGAGGCCAACCCCCAGCTTCAATTCTGCACACAGGGGAAGCAGTTCAAGGGCAAGAAGCCAGAGTCACCGAACTTCGTCCCCGCCGACCCTCCTAAAGGAGACCCACAGGGAAGCAGCCCCCAGAGGCCACACAGAGAGGGCTGAGCCCGCATCCTCAGCCAGCGACACTGACACCCGTGTGTCCCCGCCTGCTCAGTGCTTTTGGATGGAGTTTTCTTGTTTATTCCGTTTTTTTTTTTTTCCCACACTGGCAAGAGGATATTATGTATGATTTTATATATAATATTATGTACTGATTTTGGAGAATACCAAAAGGTAGAAGAAACAAGTGGTTTTAAAAAATTGCTTTAACCACTACCATAAGCTTGCTTAAAGAAGAGCTGGGTTTTCTGTGGAAGAAGCTGCAGATGGTTGGCGCCTCGGCTCACTTGGCTAATCCTTTGCCTGTGGCGCCGGCACCCTGCGTTCTAGTCCCCGTCGGGGCGCCGGATTCTGTCCCGGTTGCCCCTCTTCCAGGCCAGCTCTCTGCTGTGGCCAGGGAGTGCAGTGGAGGATGGCCCAAGTGCTTGGGCCCTGCACCCGCATGGGAGACCAGGAGAAGCACCTGGCTCCTGGCTTTGAATCAGCACAGCGCGCCAGCCATAGCAGCCATTTGGAGGGTGAACCAACGGAAAGGAAGACCTTTCTCTCTGTCTCTCTCCTCTCTCTAACTCTGCCTGTCAAAAAGAAGAAGAAGAAAAGAAGAAGAAAAGAAGAAGCAGCAGCCGCAGAGCGGGCGTCCTGACTCCTGGGAAGCACCGCTTAGCTTTGGCGGGGCCTGCTCCGAGCTGTTCTCGGGAGAGATCGGGACTTGTTAGTCTGGGTCTGTGAAGTGACAGAGATTGGGCCAGCAAGCAGAAACCTCGCAGGAAACACGTGTGCGGCCGAGCGGCCCCCGCAGAGCCGTGGCATGACTGGGGCGGGGCTGGCACACGGCCAGGACGTTCTCCGCCAGGGCCGCCCCGGGGCAGGCGCTGGGGGCCCTGACGGAAGCTCCCCTCTCGTCCACAGTGTGTTCTACGTCTTCTATGAACAGTACCTCACCATTCTGGACGATGCCGTCTTTAACCTCGGCGTGTCCCTGGGAGCGGTGTTCGTGGTGGCCGTGGTGCTCCTGGGCTGTGAGCTCTGGTCTGCAGTCATCATGTGTGTCACCATCACCATGATCTTGGTCAACATGTTTGGGGTCATGTGGCTGTGGGGCATCAGCCTGAACGCGGTGTCCTTGGTCAACCTGGTGATGGTGAGTCCCTGGCTGTCCCTTAGCCCCTGGCTCCTCTGTCACTCATAGGAACGGGGCCATGGTGTCCACGGAAACCATAAAATGGGGCAAAATCCCAGGTCCAGCTGTGGCTGTCGGAGCACAGAGGTGGGAGAAAGCACATCGCTGTCCGTTTATCCCCTTTCGGGCAGCTGTGGTGCCGAGTCCTGGTGCCCCGACAGCAGAGGCGTGCTACCAGGGCTAGCCTGGGCACTGCTTCATTACCCTCTAGGGACGGGGCAGTGTGCAGCCTAAGGGCGTTCACTGTTGATCCAGAATATTGCCCTCCCCTGGGGCTGTCTGCCCAGTTCCCAGTGGCTGGGTGCTTTTTGATAGTTAAGTGACAGTCTTGCAGCTGTGAGCATTCCAGAGGTGATAGGTGCACATCCAGCTGGGAGTCCCGTGGGGCCGGGGTGGGGACAGCCAGGAGCGACAACAGCGTGCAGGCTGCGCAGGGCCGGCTGTGGCTGGGAGGCTTTGGCACCTCCCCCACCAGATGCACACACGCCCTAGGACCCGGGGGCACAGGCCGTGCTGGGAGCGGGGGAGTGGGACTCCAGCACACATCGCAGGGGCGAGGGGCACCGCACCAGGCAAGAGCCCTGCTGAGGGAAGTGCTTTATTTCAGAGCTGTGGCATCTCCGTGGAGTTCTGCAGCCACATAACCAGAGCGTTCACAGTGAGTGGCAAAGGAAGCCGAGTGGCCCGCGCGGAGGAGGCGCTCGCTCACATGGGCAGCTCTGTGAGTATCCCGCAGGGCGCGCCCAGGGCTGGGACGACTCCCGAGGAGGAACTGAAGTTCGGAGACGTGCTTTAGAAAGCAGCTGCCAGCGAGGCCAAGTCCCTGGCAGTTCCTGGAGCAGCTGCACCTGGCACCGGTGTGTGTGACTTCTGTAGCAGGGAAACCGCGAGAAGTCAGATCTGCAGGAGCTGCACGCGGCACAGGCTCGAGCCCAGGGTGCAGTGTGGAGCTGACGTCTGCAGCGTCTCCCAGTTCAGCTCTGTCCCGGGTTAGCCTGGCCGCCAGCCCCTTCTCCTCTGTGGAACAGAACGTTAGGAAAAGCTAACACTTCTGTTTCCGAACGCTCCGTGTGCACCTGAGACAGACGTGTGTCTGCAGACAGGAGGCAGTGCCGCTGCAGAGCAAACAGCCTTGCACTCATTCATACCTGAGCCCGCTCAGCCTCGTAGAGGCACAGGGAGACTGCAGCCCCCCACCAGGGTGCCCGCGCCGCCGCCGCCTCCTTGAATATGAGAAATCCCGGCAGAGAAAGGGCTCAGTTCCGACAGACGGGTACCAGCGGGCTCTCACGCGCTCTTCTCTTTTAGGTATTCAGTGGAATCACACTTACAAAATTTGGAGGGATTGTGGTGTTGGCTTTTGCCAAATCTCAGATTTTCCAGATCTTTTACTTCAGGATGTATTTGGCCATGGTCCTGCTGGGCGCCACGCACGGGTTGATATTCCTCCCGGTCTTGCTCAGTTACATAGGTGAGCGTTCTTAGTCTTAACAGGGGCAGGAGGGGGGAGCGTGTTACTAGGGGGAAAGCTACCCTAAGGCATCGTTCCGTGCTGGTGGGCATCTGACAAGGAACACGGGGTAAAAAAAATTCCGAGAGGCGAGAGGAGCAGTCTGCTGGCTGATGACCGGCCAGCTGGTGCAGTCTCGCTGCTCGCCCTGCCTGCGCAGGGGGTCCAGGGCACACCTTGAAGCAGTCTGCGGAGCAGCAGGCCCACGCCCGCCTCGCGGGAGCAGCGTGGGCCCTTGCTGCCCGCACGGTGGGACTGTCCTCATCAGCGGACGACGTCTGTGGCCACTGCCACTAAGTGACCGCGGCTCCCAGAACACGGCTGCGGCCTTGATTTATGACTTGTGCTGGACTAGAAGGCTGAGAAGAGGGGCTTGCTTTCCTCTCTGGGGCAGAGAAACTGGCCCCGTGAGTCTCTGAGCTACACCTTGGCTCCCGCAGTGACTGAAGAGTATTCTTTTCCCCCACAGGCCCTTCAACAAATAAAGCCAAAAGTTGTGCCACTCAAGAGCGATACAAAGGTACTGAGCGAGAGCGACTCCTAAATTTCTAGGCCTCTGCCAGGGCCTGGTGACTGTGAACTGTGTCTAAGGGTCGGTCACTTTGCCAGGTTCCCCCCTGGACAAAGCTGCGCTGCCAAGGCCGAGCTGAACCCGGGATGTTCCCCAACACCAGGCCGCCGAGCAGCAGCAGCGGTGGCTGTAGAGGTTTAAACTCAGGAACGCACGGCTGGCTAGTGAAGCAGTGTTACGCAATCTGAAGGAAGGCAACCACCGGACACGGACGCCTCGCCCAGCGCCGCCCGGCAGCAAGCGGAGGGGACGCTGGATGGCTGTAAGCATGACCTGCTCGCTGTCACTGCGGAAGGCCAGGCGGTGCGCTGTCGCTCCTGTTTTTAGGAGTAAGCCATCACCCAAGTTCTAGACCATATTTTTAGTAGCATTTGAGAATGTTGTAGATACACTTTACTGTAACATTTTGTAGTTTAAAGAGCTTTATTAATGCAATAAATTAACTTTGTACACATTTATATATACATATATATATTAAAAAAAAAAAAGACCACACTACCAAGCGATTTCAGAAGGTTGTGGGCCTCATTAGAGCTTGCTCCCCAAACACCTGTTTGAAAAACGCAACGTGTTCTTCACAGTGTTCTCCTATAGAGAGAAGCAGAAGGCACCGCCCATTAGATATGGCACGAAAGCAGAGACTGCTCGTTCGGTGTGTATGCTAGGTCTTAACTTATTTTTCTTGAATAAAACACTTTGTTTTCCTAAGCCTGGATTGCCCCTTCTATCACATAGCTGCTGCCTTCACAACCCCTGTTCCCGAGATGCGTGGGAAAGCCGGGTGCAGGAAGAGTAGGCCCGCTGTGCGGCCGGGAGGCCGGGAGCTGCTCTGCACTGGCCCAGGGTCAGACTCGGGAGTGTGACTGAGGACTTCCGCCCTCGCTGAGGGCACAGCACCGTTAGCCGGTCCTTCCTGCCTGCAGCTACAGCGCTCAGAAAAAGTGCAGGCCACGGAAACCCTCAGCCACCACCTGCTGTCGTGTTCCCGTTTCTTCCAAAGGGACGTTCCCAGGTGTTGGGCTGGGTCCGGCCTCCGGATCATTCCCACCCCAAACCACCTCCCAAGGAGTTCCCGAGATAGAGTGATGCCTGCAGCCTGCAGCCTGCAGCCCGCAGCGGTAGCTCCGCTGCGCCTCAGGGTTCCGGCCTGAATTCTAGGGAAAGCCAACTCGATGGCACTGCTTACTGAGGCTTCCTACTGCGAGTCTGCAGTTACCCGGGTAGGACTATGGTATTCCCACCTGGTGTGAAACTGGGGTTCCCTCGCAAACGCTGGTTTCGCTGTTCAAAAAAGCGGAATATAGTATAGAAAAGCATGTTGTCTTCAGTCTGCTTTGCAGCGTCCAGAAATTTCCTTGCAGAAATGTTGTCGTGGCCGCCGATGCCCCGGATGAACCTCAAGGCAGCTAACACTTGGTGTTTGGAAAGGAGGACTTCCACTATTTCATCGTTGGCGGTGGAAAGTCGCTGGGAGTGAGGGGGAGAGGAGTGCAGGTCAGTGCAAGTGCCAGGGTGGGGTTCAGCCACTGGAGACCCCGACGGCCAGTTACCTTCAGCATATCCAGAGACAGCTGGTGAGCAGGGGGGTAGAAGCTTTCCAGGGACAGGAGCAGACAGGCCTGCAAGACAAAGGTCCCGCTAGCCTCGGCCGCGAGGTCAGCCCTCGAGGTCTGCACACACAGTGAAAGCGAAGCCCGGCGCTACCTACCAGGGGCTTGGAGTCGCTGAGCACGTGGTACTGCAGGAACTGGTGCAGCATGTAGAAGAGGTTGTGCTGGACCAGCGTCTTGATGACAAGCTCGTGCAGGTAATGCTGCGGGCAGAGTGGGAGCCAGGACACGGTCGTCACGGGGCCCGGCCGCAGCACGCCCGGGGCTGGCTGAGCGCTGCGGCTACTCTGAGTCGCGGGGTACGTGGTACTTTCTCATTGCAGGTGCGGCGACCAACAAGGTGGGAAGGCTAGGGGAGTCCCTCAAAATCCCATCCCAAGTCAGATATGCAGACCTGCCCGTTAGCACGTGCCGGGCGACTTCCTAAGCAAAGATGTTGGCAGTGCTTTTATTAACAGAACAGACCCCGCTCTGACCAGAGACAGCACGTGCCCACTTGAAGGTACCTGGACTGCTATCTGGAACTGGTTGAGGGAGCGGATGTACTCCATCAGCACGGCTATCACAAACTTATGCGGCATCTCCTAAAGGGGAAAGAGGGGGTTTGTGAATACCCGGGTTGCAAGAGCTCCACGTTCACGCCTCCTACCCTCCACCCCAACTTGGGCCCACACCGGGATCCCCAGAACCACCCTGTCGGTGATGAAGCTTCAGGCCTGAGAACTACAAGCCAGTCTCCCAGGGCTGGCCTTGTGGTGCAGCGGGTTAAGCTGCGACTGGCATCCCACCGCAGCACCAGCTGGAATCCCAAGCACTCTCTTTCCAATCCAGCTCTCTGCTGTGTGCCTGGGGTGGCAGTGGAAGATGCCCTGAGTACTTGGGCCCCTGCCACCCATGTGAGAGACCTGGATGCAGCTCCTGACTCCTGGCTCAGCCCCAGCCTCTGTGACCATTTGAAGAGTGAGCCAATGGAATAAGTCTTTTTTAAAAAAATGCCAAGCTAGCAGTTCTAGGTCCTCGCTCGAGGGAACTCCAGTTCTCACGATATTAGGAGTTCTGATTGGCTTCAGCTCCCTATTCTGAAAACCGAGGCCAGGGCTCTGGTGTAGCAGGTAAAGCCACCGCCTGCAGTGCTGGCATCCCACATGGGCACTAGTTTAATTCCCGGCTGCGCCATTTCCGATCCAGCTCTGCAATAGCCTAGGAAAGCAGTAGAAGATGGCCCCAGTCCTTGGGCTCCTGCACCCGTGTGGGAGACCTTGAGGAGGCTCCTGGCTGGTGCGGCCAATTGGGGAGTGAACCAGAGAATAGTAGACCTCTGCCTCTCCTTCTCTGTGTAACTCTGACCTTCAAATAATAAATAAATATTAAAAAAAAAAGAACAAAAACTGTGCCAAGGAGACCAGGAAGCTGCTGCCCACCTTGTTTTCGGTGAATGGTGACAGCACGTGGGTGTACACGTCCGACTGGTCCACCACGGCCTGGGTCCGCACAGGCCTCTTGAGAAGTGGGTTGCGGCTCTGCCCTGCTTCTACAGCCTGAAACACAGATCACAGGGGAACAGCACCATTCACGGCTACCCCAGACAGACTGCACTCCTGCGTATCAGCCTGCCACGGAGAAGCCACTGGTTTCCCTAGGACCCTTCCCTGTGCTGGCCGGCGAAGCGCTCACAAGTCGTATGCTCCAGGGTGCGAGAATGGACAAGGCAGGCAAAAGTCACCCATCTCCCTCTCAGCCTCCTCACATTCTTCAGTTCCCTGCCTGGTTTTCTAACACAGACCACGTGGCATCTGTTGCCCGAAAAAACGCAGTGTTGTGCTGACGTTCCCTGAAGCCCTGAACCCGATAAATAAGCCTGGCTTAGCATGCGTCTGTCTGGGCTTTTCGATGGTACAGGTAGGGAGCTCTGCGAGAAGTCCTTGACGCTCACCTATCGTTCCCAGGCACTCTAGGTTGGGGGGCCTCTGTAGTAGCTATGGGGTGCAGCCTGAGAACCCATATTTCTAAGGGCTCCTGGTCACTGTACCTACATGCTGTGGGTAGTGAGGGCTTATGAAGCCCAAGGGCCGGGGCCTTAGTGGTAAAGCATCCCATGTGGGCGCTGATTCTAATACTGGCTGTTCCATTTCCAATCCAGCTCCCTGCTAATGTGCCTGGGAAAGCAGTGGATGATGGCCCAATGCTTGGGTCCCTGCACCCAGGAAGAAGCTCCTGGTCTTGGCTCTGGGCTGGCCCAGCCCCAGCCAGTGAGGCCTTTTGGGGAGTGAACAAGTGGATGAAAGACTTGTGTCTCTCCTTCTCGTTCCATAACTCATTCAAATAAAGAAAGTCCAATGGCCAGTGTAGGGGGCACACTGCTGTGTGGGGTCAGGTGCACGGTTGCCCACCGGCCAGCAGCAGGGCCAAGAGCAGGGACTGGGAGGGCTCAGTCGGCCCTGGACGGTGACCACACGTGCCCCAGGCAACCCGGCCTGCTTCCGCTCCAGGAGTGGAGTCTCGAGCTTGTGTTTTTAAGACCACTTCCATTTTTAGCCTTCGAACTAAATTAGACCTTGAAGTGAAATAACTGCTTCCGCTTGTCCCCGACTTTTCTGCCCTCAGAAGACAGGACGTCTGAACAGCGGGCGCGATCTGGTGCAAGGAGCAGACACACGTCTCCAGCCCTTGCCCGCCGCCCAGTGCCGAACCCCACCAGCGCTGTCGACTGACAGACCGACAGCAGCCGAGGGCGAGTCTGCTCCTCGTACCCAGCGTTCCCTTGAGGGAAAGGACGGTGGTGAACCGACATCCTGCTTCTCACTTACTAACCCAGGCTAGCCTGGCAGAAAGACGCATGAAAGAACGCACAGCTGGGACTGGCTTTCTTGTCTACAGAACAGAGGGAGACCAAGGATCAAACAGATTTCGAAAGACAAAACCGGGGAAGACGCTCAGCGAGAGCTCAGCGAGATGACGCCGGGCAGGCCGCTGCTCGTCTCACCCCACCTCCATCCCCGCCCCCGCCCCCGCCCCCTCCCGCAGCCCGGCCTCGTGACCCACTTACCATCATGTGACACTGCTCAGCATCCAAGTACTTCTTATACTCATGGTTGAGCTTATCAAAGACGGTGGCTATCACGGGCAGCGCGGCTCTGTCTGCCTCGCCCAGCACTGTGGAGGACACGAGGCACACGTCAGCCTGCCCGCCTTCCGCTCGCCCTTGGATTCCAACACTCCCAACACGCTGCCCAGTGCCCAGAAGGGGCCCGATGCGCACACACAGACAGCTGCCGGGATGCCCGTGTGCCTGCCACGCCCATGCCCCACGCCTGTGCTCCAGTGCACGGCCCCTGGGACCACCCAGCTGCGACCAGAGCCTCCGCAGGCATGGCTGGGGACAGCAGCCTTTCCACGGGGTTACACAGCCCATTCCTCAAGCACAGAATGAGCCTATCAAGTTCCTAACAACGAGGTGTGCTCTTTCAAAGAGATCGACTCGTGGAGAGGGCGTGACAGCGGCACGGCTGGCGCCGGGCGCGGGCTTCTGGCACTCACTCTGCGAGCAGACGGACAGGATGACCGCCTTGCACTCCTTCCTCTGCAGCAGGAAGTCCATGAGCCTCCCCTTGTCGGGCAGCAGATTCACTATGGGCTGCAGTTTCACTTGGAGGTTCCACAGGTAACCTGGGGTTCAGGGGCGGCAGTTAGCAGTGTGAGGCATCCCAGAGCAAAGGCCCAAACGTGCCTCCCCTGCATGGGGAGGGAAACCCTGCACAGCACGGTTCATGGTTTGTTCCTAACCCAGGCAGAGCCAGCACATTCAGGAACGTGTGTGAC